CCCTTTGTGGTTACTATGGAAACAGGCATAATAGGAACAAAACAGAGGCATGTTGCCTGGCAACAGAAGAGCCCAAGCAAGGTTCATCACACACCACACACCATACGTATCAGGGAACCCCCTCCCAGGAGGGAGTGTCACTTGTGAGGGAAGCTGGGATATCCCAGCGATGTCAGTCCTAGAGCTCACCTGGCTTTGCCAGGAGTCGGTAGGACTGTGGTGTGGCTCCCTCGGAAAGGTGGGGGAGTGCCAGGGGCAGAGCCGACCTTCTTTCTGATAGAAGAGGACAGCCTTTATTTTGACAGAGGAGTCTAAACCTTCAAGAAGTCAGAGGTTTTCTTTGCAACATTAAGACCAAGGGGATTCCTTATAACTAAAAAATAGTGTGTGTGTGTGTGTGTGGGAGGAGTAGCTGTATAAGAGACTTGGTAGGAAGGATACCTTTTAATTTTCTCAAGGCATAGGAGCTCCAAGGAACTCAAAGGACAAGGTAAAGGGGGATCAGAGCCATTTCCCTCTGCACTGAGTGCCTTGAGAAAGGGATCCCATCTTGCCAAGTCTCTATTACCTCCTCCTCCTCCACCACCACCACCACAGGGACCCCGCACAGCGTTGGACACACAATAAATGTCTGAGCAGCTACAAGAGAGACCCAGGAGAAGGGAAATTGCTCCCTGGCAGGGGAAGCTGTGACAGCATGGGGTGTGGGAAAGGGCAAGGGTGCTGGGGCCAGTTACACCTGGAGTTCCTTCATTCATTTAAAACATGTTCGTAAAGCTGGGTGCAGTGGCTCATGCCTGTAATCCTAGCACTCTGGGAGGCTGAGGCGGGAGGATCCTTTGAGGTCAGGAGTTCAAGACCAGCCTGAGCAAAATCAAGATTCTATCTCTACGAAAATGGAAAAAACTAGCCGGGCATGGTGGTGCACACCTGTAGTCCCAGCTACTCGGGAGGCTGAGGCAGGAGGATCCCTTGAGCCCAGGAGTTTGAGGTTACTGTGAGCTAGGCTGATACCATGACACTCTAGCCTGGGTGACAGAGCAAGACTCTGTCTCAAGAAAAAAAACCCAAAACAACAACAAAAAAACATGTTCTTGAGTGATTGCTGTGTGCCAGACACTGTTCTAGGCATCTATGACTATGTGCATAGAACGGAGGAAAAAAGTCCCTGCCCTCATGGGGCTTTGATGCTAGTGGGAGCTTTTACTCTTGCTTCTGTGAGTTGTGTGACTTCAGGTAAATCTCCAACCCTCTCTGAGACCATTTCCTGAGTGCCTCCCTCCCAGCAGATGTAAGGACTAAAAGAGCTAATGTCAAATTACCTGCTGTAGGGTCAGACACAATCACTCTTAAGGCAACTCCAGGGGGTTTGCAGTAGGAGCTACCTCGATGGGGAAAAGGAGAAGAGTTGGCTGAAACTTCTAAAAATGTGCGTCTCCACTTACACTTTTGAAAACTTTTGAAAATATTCCTCTCCCCTGGGCTGAGGAGGCTGACTTGGGAAAACCCTGCTGGATTCCAGCCTGCAGGATCATGGTTTTCTTAGGGGCCAGGGTTGAGGTTACATCTTTACCCTCCTAGCCTGGAAAGACGTAGGAGCCAGTGCCCAGAACTACCTCCCCCCACCCTAGGTAAGCTTGACACCCTTACCCCTCAATGAAGTACCCGGACAGTGATCCCTGCTCTGCGGCTGCTCCAAAACCCAGCCTCTTCCTCCTGCCTTCTTCCCTGTTGACCAAAAGGGTGGCCAGAGCAAACAATGCAGCAGATAAGCTGGCTCTGAGCCTGGGACACTGGCCTCTGCTCTTTTGATCCTGGGGGGCCCACAGAGCCCAGCTGAGGTGAAGGTACAGCATTCACGCCCTTCCCTACTCTTCTTCCTTTCCTGCCCTAGCCCACGCCCCCACACGCCCTTTTTGCAGATACCCCGTGCCTTTGTGGCATCTATTACATTATAGCTATCTTTCTGAAAAATCAACTTCCACTTTAATATGCATGCGGAAAACTTGCTCTTTCAAGGACCGAAAGATGATTCATTTCATAAAGTTAAAAAAAAACCCTTTAGTAAACTGTTAACAGTGCTTACTTTTGGGGAGAGCGACTGGGGTAGGGGAGGAGGGAGACGTTTACTTTTTATTGCTGTACTCTTCTGTATTGTTTAAATTCTTTGCCATATGGAGTATTGATTTTATTTAAAAAACAACAGCAGGGATTATCTGGCCTGTGGGATTACGGGCCACTTTATTTTATTAATATCTTATTCTTGGTCTATACATAAAAAGCTGAATAAACATTATTTAAAATGAAATAAAAAATTTAAAAAGCTGTTTGTGAAGGACACAATTAGCTCTTGGTTTTTATTTTTTGAAGTGTTCTAAAGTTTGAAAGTTTGGATTTTTTTGTTTTCCCTGTAAGATAGGCGCTAGGAAAGGGGGCGCTGGACGGAATGGGGGAGGAGTGGTTGCTGGGGAGTCGGTGTCTATGACTGTGTGCTTGTGATGTGTGCGGTGAGGCTGCCTCGGCCAGCCGGGGTTGAGTCACCATCCAGGTCTGCGTGTGAGAGGGAGAGAGGGAGAGAGGGAATATGCTGGTGCCCAAGTCTCTGCTCTGTGTGTCTCTGCATGTCTATGCCTGTCGGGGTGTCTACACATGCGTCTCCACCTTTCTGTGTCCATTATATGAGTGCCTGCATGTCTGTGGCTCCTTGCGCTGTCTCTTCCCTCCCCCATGGCCTGTACCCTGCGCCGGTAACTGGACCTGGACACAGCCCCCAGGGCTGGCAGCAGAGTTGGCTGTTGGGTATTTTTAGCCTGTAAACATGTTTGCCATTTCAGAGGATAGGGCCGAGCTGGTCTCAGCCCCAGCCCACTCATGATCTTGCAGCAAGGAGGGTGCTCCTGTCTCCAGTCACCGCTTCTCCGTTCCCCAGCCCGGGGTCTCCCTTCCCCGACTTTTGGAAAGGAAGGGAAACCGGCTTGGAGTGGGCAGTCGGTGGCCGCTTAGGAGGGAGAATAAGAGGACTCATGGGGGAGAAGAGAAAGGGGGTGTGGAAGGGGGGTGTGTAGCCAGAAGGCCCCTGCACCCCATCATTAGGCGTTTAATAAAATCTCCATGTAGTTAGAAGTGGCTGTGGGAAATGGCTGTAAATTGGGAAACTCGGCGTCCTGCAAGTGGGGAGGTGGGGAGGGGCTGGAGAGGGGCGCCGGGGAGGAATGGCAAGGCGGAGGAAAAGCCGGAGCTCCGGCCTCTGCGGGGCGGGAGTCTGGAGCGGAAGGTGGGCGGCCGGTCGGCTCCTCCGAGGGCCTGACTCCCGCGGCGCGTGCGGCGCTGGTGACCCTGACTCCTGGGGGTGGGGCGAGCATCTCCAAGCCGGTTCTGTGGCGGGAGGGGTGGAGGGGCCCCCAGAAGAGGGAAGGCGAGAAATGGGCGCGGCTGCACGGAGCTTGGGAACCAAATGAGGAGGCTGGGGCCTGGGATTTGAAGTGTAGTTGCCTATGTCGAGCGAAAACTCCAATGTCCGCGTCGGGCTGGAGGTCGCGGCCGAATCACTTAAGCCCCAAGCAGCTTTCTGAGTTGCTTGGCCCTTCCTGCAAAATGGGCTGATTCGCAGTTCCAGCTGTGAGCCCCAGGGAGCTTCCAGGAGTTTCTCGCCGATGAAGCCACCCATTGCACATAGTGGGGGGTAGATCCAGGCCTGGGATAGAACAGGGGGCAATGGACCGTGGGGAGGAGGGAAGGCGGCGTCCCCTTGTCCCCACGCCCCGCTGCGGCCCATCCCCCAGCAGACCACCCCCGGTCCCTCTAGTGTCGGCCCCGCTCGCCCGTCCCAGCCCCGCTCGGGCCCCGCCCGGCCCCGCCCTCTCCCCACAGCTCGGGGCAGACCCGCCCGCCCGAGCCGGAGTTACAAGAGCCGCCTCCGTGCGCGGGGGCCCGGCCACTCGGAGCAGCTCTGCCGCGGGGACTGCACTGCCCGCCCTGCCGGACCCGCCCCGATCGGGGCTCGCCGCCGCCAGCAGCCGCAGCACCGCAGCCTCCGGCCCCGCGCCGACTATGGCTGTGTCCTGGGGCTGAGCGCGCAGGTAGGGGTGCCAGGCGCACCGTGGCGCAGTCGGGGGGCCGGGGTACGGAGAACGTGTCCGGGGACGTGGGTTATGGGGTTTGGGCGAGGCTCGTTGTTGTGTCACTGCGAAAATTCAAATAGTTTGGAGGAAACTGGGTTGCCCAGGGCCTCCCGGGACGCGACTTGTCGCTCCCTGGGAGTGGAACGCTGCCTCTGGAGTTGGGGCGCAAGTTTGGCAAAGTTGGAAAATCGCTCTGAAGTGCGCTTTGCTCTGCTCGGTATTTCTCTCGAGGGCGGATTGTTGGCCCTACTGCACAGCAGGGGTCGCGATCCTGGCCTGGAGGCCCCCGTCCCACCCCTCTCTCTCTCCATGGGGCGGTGGCTCAGGGGCTGCTCCGTTTGTATTCCCTGTTTACTGGAGAAGTTTGAGATCGCCGCCGCGACCCCCCGCCCTCACAGCCCCGCGCCGCGCGCCCCTCCGCTGCCCTTCCCTGCTCCCCGCCCCTCCGCCCCTAACTTCGGGTCCGGTGTCCTCCCGGCCCCACCCTGTTCTGTACCACCAGCCTCTCCCTTTCTCGCTCCTTGCGGTCCCCTCGGCCCCCCTTCAGCGGCCCCGCCCTAGTCTTGCCCCTCGGTGTTCCTGGCTCCAGAAAACTCCCTTCTTCCTCCGGGGCGGCGGAGCCTGGAGTTTGCTGCGCGCCGCCCAGCGGGATGGGTGTGCAGCGGGGGGACATAATTAGGGAGATTCCTGCGCTGGGGTGGGCGGGGAGGAGGGGGCAGTTCTGCTGCCCTGCCCTGGGGACCGCCCCTTCCCCTCCAGAAGCGGCGCTTCCCCCCCGCCCCACTCCCAAACCCGTTCGGGCGGGATGGCCCCCGCCCCAGCGCCTGGCTCGGCGCCAGTAGCCTGAGGAATGTGGTGGTTGGAGCCGGTGACTAATTCAAACCAGAACTCAGGGAGGAGTGGTGAGGGGCAAAGGGGAGGGGCAGGGGGCTGTGCGTGGGAGGTGGGGGCAGGAGCGGAGCTTGGCGTGGGAGGGGGGCTTAGCCGCACTGGCCAGAACCCTCCACTCGAGCGGTGCGCGCCAGGAGAGGGGGCCGGGGTCGAGGTCCTGCCGTGGGGTTGGAAAGGCAGCGTGCTTAGGGTGTGCGCAGAGAACCCTGTTATGTAAGGGTTTCCCATGCGGTGTGTGTGTGTGTGTGTGTGTGTGTGTGTGTGTGTCTGTGTGTGCGCGACCGCCTGGCTAACCCGTGGCAGGGCTCACGCCCGGGTGTGGGGGCGCTGACCACGAGCGACTCATGAGGCCCAAGCAGGGCTGGCTGTACCCCTTGCGTGTTGTATCCCTTGCACGGAGGGGAGCAGAGGGGACAGTTTGGGGAATCTCACAGCTCTGGCTGAGCACCGACATCCAGGTGGGGGACAACCAGGTGGGGGCCACTCTGGCACCTCTGCACAATGAGACCACAGAGGAGTGTGTGCATTGCATGTGCCCCCTCTTCACAGGGTGTGGTCCTGGCTGTGGTCAGGGTGGCAGCGAGGTGCTCCTAGGGAGCTGCAGGGGCTGCTGAGAGCCTGTGGAGCAGATTGGTGGAAAGGCAGTGTGAAAGCCCTCCATGGCCATGAGGTCCTTAGAGAATGACCCTGAGTTTCCAGAGGAAAAATGACCCAGATATCTACCTCTGTGTCCCCAACACAGCTCTGGGCTCCCAATAATTGGTTCTGAAGCTGTCTTCCTCATTAAAATTCAGCCTCTGATTGCAGGGACCCAGTTTACCGCGTGCCTTCCTAGAGCAGCCTGGTGCATGGTAGGCGTTGGGCTGGTTTTGTGGGATACAGTGATGCAGTGGGGGGCTGTAGTGCGAGGGAAGGAGAGAGAGATTGACGCTGGCTTGGAAGGCATGTAAGGGCCTCTGCACCTATCCCGGGTGTGAGATAGGGGAGTAGAGCTCGCTTTCATCCTCACTCCTGCAAGGGAAATCCCAGGGGCTGGGTGTGGCACTCACTTCCTTTCAGAAGCTGAATGGGGAAGCTTCCTTCCCCTCCTGCGCTTAGGGACTACAGGGCTGCACATGGTAGGTAGAGGGTGCCAAGTGGGGACTACATGGCAGCCCCCGGGTTGCTCGAGCCCTGAGCTGTGGGGTGAGTGACAGAGGGGGAGAGAGGAGAGGGCACATGGTCTGGGGGCAGGTAGGAGATGGGGTGGAGAGTATCTGAACCCCTCTCTAAAGACTTTGTCCCTAAGAGGTTGGGCACAGGAACATTAGTCAGAGAACAAGGACACATGGAAGCCACAGCAGTTGCGCAGGCTGATATGAAGGCCCACAGCAGCGATTCAGGGGTCCCAGTCTGGGCAACTCCTTGAGGAGCTGACCCTCAGAGCTTAGAACTCCTGCCAGCCAGCCGTGGTTGAGGGCATGGGGCCCCAGGGTGGGACGTGAGAGAGAGTGAACCATGGGAGGGAGAAGGCTGGCATCAGCCAAGGGCAGGGAGTGGGTTGGGGGTCCCTGGGAGACCCTGTGTAGGCGTGCCCGGGCACCACCAGGCTAGATTCTTTTGCTCAACTTGGAGTTGGCTGGTGGGCCCTGGCAGAGCGTGTTGCCCTGCGCCTGGAGCTGGTTTGAGGGATTGGTGCAAAGCCATGGGGGTGGAGGGGCCTGTGGGGCTCTGGGGTGTGGTCACTACCTTCTTCAGAACTTGGGAACCGCCTGGGGACAGACAGAGAGGCAGACTGGGAGAGCTAGTCTGACTGTGATGAAAACTTTGCTGGCTCTCTCCCTGGCCACTCCCGGATGCCCTGGAGTTTCTCTCCCTGGAGCTGGGCTGACCACGTGCTGTGCGCACTTCGGTTTGAGGAAGGGAGGTGTGCTGCCGAAAGGGTTTAGAATGTGCCATTTCATTTGGGCGGTGACAGTGGCAGGTGTCTAGGGCCTTCCTCACCCTCTTTGCCACCCACGGGCTTCATCCAGGCTCTGAGGGAGATGGCATTTCCCTGGGCTCAGACCATCTGGCTGGACTCCTGAGCAGGAGCAGTTTCCTCCAAGCCTGGTGTGCCCAAGGGAATGTGCGGCAGGGGAGTGGGCTACAGGAGGGCTCTGCAGGAGTGTGTGTGTGCTTTGATGAAGCTCCTCTTCCTCCCTGCTGGCCTCAGTGCCCACCAGGGCTATGGCTGGGCTGAAGCCAGCAGCTTGGGTCCCTCACTGTTAGCATAGCATGAGCCGTTCTATTGTGGCCTTGGACCCCTGTGACTGCCCATATCACAGCCTCCGTGTCTCTGAGCACAGCGTGTGTCTTTGCCTGTGAGAGGGCATCCTGCTGGCTGTGCATTCGGGTCCTCCCCTCGTGGCAGGCCTGGATGTGTCCCCTCTGCCTGCTGCAATGTGGGGCTTGGAGGGCAGGGGTGGCAATGACATTCTGCTCTGGTGGTGGAGGTTTCACGCAGGCATCCAGGGGCTGTAGGTAAGAAGTGAAGTAAGTTTCTCTGTCCTAAACAGGTCTGGGTCCTGGAATTTGTGCCCAGAGTCCCCTTGGGACGTTGAGGACAGCCCTGGGGGTGCAGGACCCAACTGAGCGAGGCCGAGCAAGGCGCTGCATGGCCTGTCAGGGAGGGGCATCCTGCCAGGTCCCCAGGGGCCGGAGCGGAGGTTCTGGGGAAAGGGGAAGTGCCTGGAGCTGGTCCCAGCTATGTCTACGTGTCCTGGCCTGGGGGGCGGCTCTTTGGCGGCAGAGCCTCAGCGGCCTGGCCCGCGCCCCTGCACTAGCGTCGCCTGACCGCTGGGGGGGGAGCGAGCTGCACCCTCCCCGAGAGGCCGGCCGTGGGTGGGGCAGTCGGCAGCTCCCAAGCTGTAATCTACCCCACAGGGCAGGACAGGGTGTTCTTCTTCACTCCCCCTCCCCCACTGTAAAACGCCACCCTCGGAGTTGGTGTCCTGGAAAAAGCCCACTCCCAGGGGTCCTGGTAAACGCCCACTCTTCCTTGCCTTTATGTCTAGGTTTGGGGGCTTATGCTGGAGAATGGTAATGCTGTCCCCACTCCCTTGTCACAAGGTAGGCGGAGGGTCTCTGTTGGCCAGGGAGGGAAGAGGGAATCTCTCCCTGCTGGAAAGGAGAACTTGGAGCTTGAGGCTTGAGAGCTTGCTGGGAGCCTGGGAGTGTGGTAGGAGGATGTGCGTGGCCAGGGTGGAGAGAGGTGGACAAAGGGTCAGAGCCAAGCCAGGAGCAGCCGCTGGCTATGGTCGGCGTGTGGGGACTGGCCCGGAGTCAACTTGCAGAAACCCCCGCATGATGGTGAAGGGTCAGGGGAAGGGTCTAATGGGGAGGGGAGAGCTGGAGTGACAAAGCTGTAAAATCTTCCTCCTGATGAGAATTGTGGGCTGGGCCAGCACCTTCCTCCCCGAAGGGCAGGTATTGGAAGCAAGACTGGCAGGTGCACACACAGTCACACGCTTGGGGACACGGGCACCAGGTGAACAGGGCCTCCATGACAGGTGTCTATTGTGAGCTGGTAAGAGCTGGCTGGGGCTGCGGGCTTCTCTGGGCTGTGTAGAGTGGAGAATGGGGCTGAGGGTCTCCGTGTGCCCGAGGCGCATGTGTGTCCTTGTGTGCCTTTCTCTGAATGAGCCTCCAGTGCCCCAGTTGCTCATGTCTTGCAACGCGTTCGTCTAATTCTCCCTGGTAATTCCGTCCCCTGCCAACAGCTCCTCCTACGTAAGTTGAAAGTGCTCTGTTGGGGTGTGCTGCCAGAATCAGCCGGGTGGGTTTGTGAAAGTTCTTCATGCCCACTTAGACTCCTCAGATCGCTGTGCACTTCTACTATGCCCATTAAAATAGGGCGTTTGTTTTTCTCTCTTTCGTTCTTTCTGTATTTTTTTTTTTTTTTGAGACAGAGTCTCGCTTGTTGACCAGGCTATAGTGATTGCCGTGGCGTCAGCCTAGCTCACAGCAACCTCAAACTCCTGGGCTCAAGCAATCCTTCTGCCTCAGCCTCCCGAGTAGCTGGGACTACAGGCATGTGCCACCATGCCCGGCTAATTTTTATATATATATATTAGTTGGCCAATTAATTTCTTTCTATTTATAGTAGAGACGGGGTCTTGCTCTTGCTCAGGCTGGTTTCGAACTCCTGACCTCGAGCAATCCTCCCGCCTCAGCCTCCCAGAGTGCTAGGATTACAGGCGTGAGCCACCGCGCCCAGCTTCTTTCTGTATTTTTTCTTGAGACAGAGTCTTGCTCTGTTGCCCCGGCTAGCGTGCAGTGGCGTCATCCTAGTGTACCGCAACCTCAAGCTCCTGGGCTCAAGCAGTCTTCCTGCCTCAGCCTCCCGAGTAACTGGGAATACGGGCACGTGCCACCATGCCCGGCTAATTTTTCTATTTTTTTGTAGAGACAGGGTCTCACTCTTGCTCAGGCTGGTCTCAAACTCCTGGCCTCAAGCTATCCTCCCGCCTCGGCCTCCCAGAGTGCTAAGATTACAGGCGTGAGCCACCACGCCTGGCCCATTTGTTTTTCTAAACAGAAGTCAGGCAGGGTCCATTTGGAGGCTCAGGCCCTGGGAGGGATGCCACCCCTGTGTTTCCCCTTGTTCCTCTGGGATGAGGGTCCACCTGGCATGGCTGTTCCCTTCTCCCAGAGAGTGGAAATGCTTGCCTTGCCCTGCCAGTGCCTGGCTGCCTCTAGAGTCTAGAGTGAGAAGGGGCTGGTTCTCTTGTCCCCAACCTGTTGGGGCCCAGGAGAATCTAGGAGTGAGCTGGGTTCTGCGTAGCTCAGGATTCTGACCCCTGGGGACCCAGCCTCAATAAGCCCCAGAACCAAAAGGCCCCTGAGACATAGGGCTCCAGGATGCCTGTGACCCTGCCCACTTGGGGTTTGGTGTCTACGAGCTGGGCCAGGACGAGGCTGCACTATGGGGAAGGGGGTCTGGAGGCTCTCTCCCTCTGCCTGTGGGTGTGTCCCTCCAACTCTCACTCCCCCGCAGTGTATCTCCCGTGTGCATCTTTCTCTGTGGTTTCTCGCGTGTCTCATCCTGCGTGTGTATTTACTTGTGCCTTTGTCCTCTACCTGATAAAGAGTGTTGGCTTTGGAGTCAGAGGTTCCTGGGCTTGCATTTCAACCCTGTCTCCTACTTGGTCAAGTTGTCTTACCGCTGGGGCCTATTTCCACATCTTTAAAATAAAGTTATTAATTCTTATCCTGTAGTATCCTTTGGGGATGGAATAGATCCCAGGCATGGAATGCGACCAGCACAGTCCTTGGCACACAGAATTCTTTCTCTCAACTTTGTGCATGCAGGGTGGTTTCTTTCAGTGCGGAGCTTTGTCTTCCTCTTTCTCTGCTGGTGAGTGTTTATGGGAGTGTATCACTCTTCTGGGTGTGTCTCTCTTTGAATAGCCAACCCTTGCTCCTGGTTGTGAGTGTGGAGGTCTCTAACTCTGGGCGTGAGTCATTTAGTTCTCGAGTTTGGCCTGTGTGCATGGTGGGTTGGTTGGCACACGCGCACAGCACCGTGCTGCGTGGAAGTTTCACTGTCATTGGTGCCCTCCCCGGTGTGGGTAGGGGTGCTTCTCTGTCCGTTGCAGGGTCACTCCCTGTGTCCAGCCTGTGCCGGTGGATGCACAATTGTGTGCTCCTCTGATGTGTATCTTGTCTTCCGTTTTGGTGCATTCAGGCACTGAGGCCCCTGGAGTGTCTCTCAGGGAGTGTATCAGTTCCTGTCATCTTGACACCGATGCTGGCTGCAGGGCTGTTTTTAGCCGCTGCAGCAGTTAACCTGGGCCCCTCCCTGGCTGTCTTCATACTGCCTCTCCGGAGGAGGGGGCTCCATTCCCAGCAGGCAGTGGGGGGAGGATGCTCCTCCGGAACTCACCCCTGGCAGAGGCCATTGTCCGGTTCCAGGACTCTGCTTTCTGGATTTCTCCTGGATCTGCTTGGCATCGCCGTCAGTCCACGGTGGTGGGCATGGCAGAGCCCCGCTGCTCGTCACGTCTTCTTTGCAGTTTTGCAGGGATAAGATGGCCTGTTCTTCTCTCGCTGCTTTGGGTCTGAACTACAGTCTGTCCCTCTGTCTCGGATATGCGTCCCTCTCAGCTTTGCAGCCGGAGTGGCCTCACCACCTCACTCCTTTTCTGACCTCCAGGCAGCTGTCTGTCTTAGGGGATCTGCTTCCTGTCACAAGGGAGATGGGGAGCCAGTGTCAGGTGGACCTCTGGGCTGGAGATAGCTGACCCGGGCTCTAGGGCTGCAGTGCTCTCCCATTCTCACCTCTCTGGGCCTCAGTGCCCCGTTTGTAAATAACAGTGCTGTCCCATTGAACTTTTGCAGTGGTGGGATATACTGTATCTGTGCTGTCTAATATAGTGACCAATAGCTACATGCGGCTGAATTAAATTTTAGTTTAACTGAATTTTAATTAATTTAAATGTAAATATGGCCGGGCGAGGTGGCTCACGCCTGTAATCCTAGCACTCTGGGAGGCCGAGGCGGGCGGATTGCTCGAGGTCAGGAGTTCAAAACCAGCCTGAGCAAGAGCAAGACCCCATCTCTACTATAAATAGAAAGAAATTAATTGGCCAACTAATATATATAGAAAACATTAGCCAGGCATGGTGGCGCATGCCTGTAGTCCCAGCTACTTGGGAGGCTGAGGCAGGAGGATTGAACCCAGGAGTTTGAGGTTGCTGTGAGCTAGGCTGACGCCAGGGCACTCACTCTAGCCTGGGCAACAAAGCAAGACCCTGTCTCAAAAAAAAAAAAATGTAAATAGCCACATGTGGCTACCATGTTGGATGGCATGGCTCTAAGGTCCTTCCCAGCTCTAAAGGCGAATGGCACTTGGCTCAATCATGCAGAATTTTCCCAAAGCTCCAAAGGCCCTCTGGGTAACAGCAGGGCAGAGCCCTCAGCTCCCGGGAAGCCTGGCCTAACCTAACTTGTGCAGAAGGAGACGGAAGGACCACCTGGGCTTGGTAGTGGAGAAGAGAAGGGCTGGGACCAAGTGCAGGAAACAGCCACCCTGGCTTCACAGCTCCCTTCTGCATCCCCATGCCCATCCTCGGAACTCAGTAGCCCCAGTCAGATGAGAGGGGAGTCTTTCCTGGCTGTGCCAGGACGGGCACCGGAGCCAGAGCAGGCAGGGTGGTTGGCAGCCCCGCCTCGCCAGGAAGCTATGGAGTGCCCTGCCAGGGCTGACCTGCAGCCTCAGGTCCCATGGCTCCTGTCTTCACGGGCTATGGATCCTTCCTCATGGCTGAGGGCTTCTCCCCTCCTCAGAAGCCGCCTGGGTTGAGACATGCAGCAGGTCTCTCCTGAGCCTCAGAGCCATGCTTCCCGGGACTCCCGTCCTGGGATTACGTCTGAGGGCACTGGCAGGGAAGCCGACTGCCTATCAGCCTTGGAGCCCTGGCTCCTCTGGCACCCAGGGCTCTGGCCCAGGAGGCACTTTGTCCATGGGTTTTAGGCGTGACCCTTTGCATGTCTGGAGCTGTTGCGGCCAGCTGCAGTGACTCACTGGGGAAGGAGGGAGGGTGGGGCCAGGACGTGGGTGAGGGTGAGCTGGCTGCGTTCTTCCCCTCTTTGGCTGCTGGCTCAGCACCAGGTTTCTGGGCTGAGGAAAGGGGCCCTGCTCAAGGAGGAAGACAGGGGTGTCAGGGCAGTCTGCAGGGTGGCTTCAGTGCTATCTGAGAGACCCAGTCTGGAATCCTTTGTCCTTCCCTGCCTCTTCCTGGCTCCTTAGTGCTGGACTCTGGGAGAAGTGCAGCCTCCCCTGCCTGCCGGGAAGGGAGGAGGTGTTTTCCTCAGCCCACACCTGTGCCAGCAGGCAGCTCACCCCTCAGAGTCTTTGTCACCTCCTAGCCAGCACCTGTGTTGACCAGGAGGCACATGATAATCACCGCATTTATGCCTTTGTCAAACAAGAGAACAGGTGTTGGGAGGACTGGGGTTTATGAGTTTATCTCTCATCCATGTTGTGATCTGCCAGATGCTGGAACTGTTAATTGCCCATAAATTCCCAAGAGGCACAGTCCTGTCCTCAGGGGTCAAGTCTAGCACCTTCAAGACCCCATGTATATTTCATTCCCCCTAAAAGGCTCCCAAGCCTCTGGAACATTCTGAGGCCCATAGTTTATATCTGGGACAGGAACCAAGTCTTTTAAATCTCCGTATCTGGCACATGGAGTGTGTTCAGTAAATGTTTTGAGGGTGCACGAGTGAAGTTAGGTCACAATCTAAGGCAGTGTGTAATTAAGTGCTGGGCGAGCCGTGTCTGACCCTGGCTGGTTTCCTCTGCAGTGCCCAGTGCAATGCTGGGCACATGGGAGGCAATCAGTATGCATGAATTTATTGATTGGTTGACTAATTTCTGGATGTAAACAGCTTTAGGGTGGGACTTTGGGCGAGGTGCCCCATGATTTATAGCGTCTCCCACACAATTTCACACGCGTGCCTTTGATGGCTGCGCCGCCATTTTGTGTGGGTGACTGTCGTCCGCAACTGTGTCCAGAGTCCTGTGTGGTGTCTTCCCAGGGTGCCTCTGCCACTGACAGCTCACCCTGTAGCAGGAGGGCAACTTTGGCCTGGCTCGGGCCAGTGTGGGCAGCCAGCATGGCCTTGACACACCACGGGCCTGACTCGGGCTCAGCCGTACTCTAGCCTGGTGAGCTTGGGCGGGTGCCTGGGGGCTGGGGGCTTTCTTTGTTCAGGCTGCCATCGGTGGCAGGGCTCCCAGAGCTCCCAGCTGGTGAGGGCTTCCCCTTAGTCCTGAGGGCCAGGGTAGGCAGGGTGACCCGGAGTCACCATTTGCCACTAGGGGAGGGAAGGCGCGGCCATGCCTGTTTGGAGCCACCCTGCGAGGAGTCTCACACCAGTCAAAAGCTGCAGACCTGGTGTGGTATAGAGGAGAGAGTTACAGACTCAAAGTCTGAGCCCCACATAGCTGCTGTCTTACTGTACCCCAGGCCATCGGCCGCTCCCAGGCTCAGTCTCTCCATCTATAAAGTGGGGACAGCAGTGTTTCCCCCCCAAAGCTGTTGTAAAGAACATCAGGAGGGCCGGGTGTGGTGGATTACAGGTGTGATTACGCCTGTAATCCTAGCACTCTGGGAGGCCGAGGCGGGAGGATCACTCAAGGTCAGGAGTTCGAGACTACTGAGCAAGAGCAAGACCCTGTCTCTACTAAAAATAAAAAGAAATTAATTGGCCAACTAAAAACATATTAGAAAAAATTAGCCGGGCATGGTGGTGCATGCCTGTAGTCCCAGCTACTTGGGAGGCTGAGGCAGGAGGATTGCTTGAGCCCAGGAGTTTGAGGTTGCTGTGAGCTAGGCTGATGCCACGGCACTCACTCTAGCCCGGGCAACAGAGTGAGACTCTGCTCCCCCACACACAAAAAAAGACCATCATGAGATGTGGGGCTCCTCCGGGCCAGCGTGCGTCACTGGGGCTGTTGTCTCTCTCCTTCAGTCCTCACTGTAATCTTTTACCATCTCCGTTTCTATAGATGAGGAAGTGAAGGTTCAAAGAAGTTAAGTGACTTGGCCAGGGCCTCAGGGCTGGGAGGAGGCAGAGCCAGGATTTGAATCTGAGTCTGGCTCTTCGAGAGCCCTTTTTGCAATGCCAGGCTGCAGAGCCCTGGAAGAGGGGAACCACTGGCATGGGGGGGTGGGCTATGGCTTGGCCTGGGGAACAGCACCAGCCACGGTGTGGGTTGGGGTTTCAAGCAAGCTGAGCCCCAGTGTGAGCATCTCTGGGACCTTTTCCCTAGGCTGTGTGACCGAGAACCCGACAAGAGAGACTGAAGGGAAGAGAGGAAGGAGGGGCGGGCTCCTGGCAAGGCATTCGCTCCAGAACGGAATCCTGCAAAGGTCAGTAGGAGGGAGGGGCAGCGAGACGGGGAGGTGCTGGGATGGGGGCAGTTGCCTAGGGAGGCTGGGGCCCTGGTGGAAGGGATGAGGGGTTTGTTGCCTCCGCTGTCTCCTTTCCATCTTCTCTGCTGTGCCTTGGAGGAACTCCCACGGTGGAAGGACGTGAGGCGGGTGAGCCAGGACTTGGGGGCAGGTGCATCGGAGAGAGCATTCCACTTGCTCAGAGTCAATAGCACGGAGGTCCCCGGCTGTCTCATCTCTCACGCCCGGGCATCCCCACTCACCTGAGCTCCATTTCCTCACCTCATCCCAGATGGAGAAGGAAGAAGAAGCAACCCGGGAGCTGCTGCTGCCCAACTGGCAGGGCAGCGGCTCCCATGGGCTGACCATTGCCCAGAGAGATGATGGCGTCTACGTGCAGGAGGTGATGCAGAACTCCCCTGCGGCCCGCACTGGGGTGGTCAAGGAGGGTAAGTCGCCCCAGGGTGCAGACTGGGTGCTGGGGGTCGGGTAGGTCAGGGCGCCGGAGGGAAGGGCAGGGACAGAGAGCAGGCAGAGTGGGCTGCACAGTCCCGGCGGCATCAGGATGGTCGGTACCCAAGCCCTGCCCTCCCTTGCTCAGTCTATGTCCCTTGCTTGTGGTCCCAGGGGGTAGTGGGGACCTAGTCCTCAGATCCAACTGCATCACCCACGAACTCTGCAGATTTGGACAAATTAGTTGGCCCGTGTAAGCCTCAAGTTTCCTCATCTGTGCAATGGGTGTTACCCTGTCCACCTTGCAGGGTGGTCACAAGGATTACATGGGAGTCAGCTGAAGTGCCCAGCACGTCATGGCTGTGCTGCTTCCCCGACACCCTGTGGGTCTTACCTGCTTCTTGCCCCTCCCTGCTCAGGGGACCAGATTGTGGGTGCCACCATCTACTTTGACAACCTGCAGTCGGGTGAGGTGACGCAGCTGCTGAACACCATGGGGCACCACACGGTGGGCCTGAAGCTGCACCGCAAGGGGGACCGCTCCCCCGAGCCCGGCCAGACCTGGACCCACGAAGTCTTCAGCTCCCGCAGCTCTGAAGTGGTTCTGGTGAGTGCCTCGCCCACCCGTCTGTGCCCCGAGCTCCCCGGCCGCGCTGGCCTGCTGCTCACCGTGCTGAGCCTGCGTTCTGCCTCTTACACACCCTGCTCCTCCCTCCGCCTGTCTGCGCTCTCGCCAGCCCTTGGCCAGCCTCTTTCTTCCTGCTCACGTGTGGCATGTGGCTGGTGCTGTCCTACATCGGTCTCTGCAGAGTGCCCCTGGGCCACAGCGGGGAACCGGCTGGTACAGCCTGGGCCCGGATGCCAGGGGCAGGTTGGCTACTTTGCAAGAATCTCTGAAATCACCTCGCAGGTGCCCACCTCTGCCTCACAGACATCATTTTTCTCCTTACAGAGGCCCCAAATCATTCTGTGAGTCAGAGGCTGGGCAGCAAGGTGCCTGTGGGGATGGTGTTCTTCCTGAAGGCTTGTTTAGTTAACAGAGTGCTGACTCGAGCACAACCAGTCCTTTAGGCTCCACAAGTGCATTCCAGTGCGCAGGCCCCTGGGCGGACCCCTCCTGGTTCCACAAACAAGCCAGTGGTTGGGAGTTGGGAGCTGAAGGGCCTGGTCTCCTGGGTGGTCCCTGCATAGGCCGATGTGAACCTCGAATCGATGGGACTGCACAGTGCAGGAGCGTACCCCCATTCCCCATGGGTTTTGTTTGCCCGAACGACCCCCAAATGATTCCTGTTTTCCTCCTGTGATGTGGCTGTCAGCCCCTTTCTTCAGCCCCTCGTGCTCTGCCCCAGGAGGCTCCGTGGACCTCTGTTCTGGTCCCAGCTTCTCTGGGAAACGGGCACCCATGTTGTCGTCTGGGCTGTGGCCGGGCATCTGGTAGCTCAGGCAGACCCTGCTGCAACCTCTCCGGCGTGTCTTTCTGCAGAGCGGGGATGATGAGGAGTACCAGCGCATCTACACCACGAAGATCAAGCCTCGGCTGAGGTCGGAGGACGGAGTGGAAGGTGACCTTGGGGAGACCCAGAGCCGCACCATCACAGTGACCAGAAGGGTCACGGCCTACACTGTGGATGTGACCGGCCGAGAAGGAGCCAAGGACATCGACATCAGCAGCCCTGAATTCAAGATCAAGATCCCAAGGCATGAACTGACTGAAATCTCCAGTGTGGGTGTGGAGACCCAGTCAGGGAAGACAGTGATCAGACTGCCCTCGGGCCCAGAGGCAGCCTCTCCAGCCACGGGCTCTGCGGTGGACATCCAAGCAGGGGCCGTTTCTGCTTTGGGACCAGAGTTCCAAGGTCCTGGGCACTCGAAGCTCCAAGTCACCATGCCTGGGATAAAGGTGGGAAGCTCAGGTGTCAATGTCAGCACAAAGGGCATAGACTTGGGTGGCAGAGCAGGGGTCCAAGTTCCAGCATCGGACATTTCGTCTTCTCTTGGGGGTGGGGCAGTGGAGGTGCAGGGCCCATCCCTCGAGAGTGGTGATAATGGGAAAATTAAAATTCCTACCATGAAGGTGCCAAAATTTGGTGTCTCGACAGGGGCCGAGGGCCAGGCACCAGCGGCCAAGCTGAGTGTTTCTGCACCTGAATTCTCTGTGGGGCACCAGGGCGGCAGGCCAGGCTCGACTATCAGTGGGAACATCCAGGCCCCTCAGCTGGAAGTCAGTGTCCCCTCTGCCAATGTTGAGGGGCTTGGGGGGAAGCTGAAGGGCCCCCAAATCACTGGGCCATCTCTTGAGGGTAACCTAGGCTTGAAAGGTGCCAAGCCACAGGGGAGCATTGGGGTGCACACCTCTGCTCCCAAAATCGGGGGCAGCATCACCAGCCCCAGTGTGGAAGTTTGTGCCCCTGATGTTGATGTTCATGGGCCTGGAGGCAAACTGAATGTGCCCAAGATGGAAGTCCCCAAATTCTCTGTTTCGGGTTCAAAGGGAGAGGGAGCTGGCATTGAGGTGGCACTGCCCACAGGTGAAGTGACTCTTCCTGGAGTCTCTGGGGATGTCAGTCTGCCTAAGATTGCTACTGGTGGGCTGGAAGGGAAGACGAAAGGTGCTAAAATCAAGACTCCTGAAATGATAATTCAGAAACCTAAAATTTCTATGCAGGATGTGGATCTGAGCCTCGGGTCTTCTAAACTGAAAGGAGATGTTAAAGTTTCTGCTCCTGGGGTGCAAGGTGATGTCGAAGGGCCTCAAGTGGCAGTTAAAGGCACCAGAGTGGACATAGAGACACTGAACCTACAGGGGACCTTGACAGGCCCCAAGATTGGCAGTCCTGGAAAAACAGGAACCTGTAGCATCTCTATGGCAGATGTAGACTTAAGTGCTGCAGCACCTAAAGTGAAAGGGGGCATAGATGTCACACTCCCAAAAGTAGAAGGGAAAGTCAAAGTTCCTGAAGTTGATGTCAAAGGCCCCAAAGTGGATGTCAGTGTACCAGATGTGGACGTTCATGGCCCAGAATGGAACCTGAAAATGCCCAAGATGAAAATGCCCAAGTTCGGCACTCCAGGAGTCAAAGGGGAAGGCCCAGGTGTAGATGTGACTCTACCCAAAGGAGATGTCAGTATTTCGGGGACCAAGATCAATGTGGAAGCCCCAAATGTCAACATGGAGGGTCTGGGGGCCAAATTTAAAGACTCTGATATTAAGCTGCCTGATGTGAGTGTCAAGACACCAAAAGTCTCCATGCCTGATGTAGATTTGGATGTTAAAGGCCCAAAGGTGAAGGGAGAGTATGATGTAACAGTACCAAAGCTTGAAGGAGAATTGAAAGGCCCCAAAGTGAGCATTGATGCCCCAGATGTGGATGTTCACGGCCCAGACTGGCACCTGAAGATGCCCAAGATGAAAATGCCCAAATTCAGTGTGCCAGGGTTCAAACCAGAGGGCCCAGGAGTGGATGTGAATCTGCCCAAGGCTGATGTGGACATTTCCGGGCCCAAGGTGGATGTTAGTGCTCCAGAGGTTAGCATTGAGGGACCAGAAGGGAAATTGAAAGGGCCCAAGTTTAAGATGCCTGAGATGAATATCAAAGCCCCGAAGATCTCCATGCCTGATGTGGACTTACACTTGAAAGGCCCCAATGTAAAGGGAGAATACGATGTTACAATGCCAAAGGCTGAAGGTGAGATTAAAGTTCCTGATGTTGAACTTAAAAGTGCCAAAGTAGACATTAATGCCCCAGATGTGGATGTTCAAGGACCAGACTGGCACCTGAAGATGCCCAAGATGAAAATGCCCAAGTTCGGCATGCCTGGTTTCAAGGCAGAGGGTCCAGAAGTGGATGTGAACCTGCCCAAGGCTGACATTGATGTCTCAGGACCCAAGGTAGATGTTGAAGTTCCAAATGTGAATATCGAAGGACCTGAAGGAAAGCTTAAGGGTCCCAAGTTTAAGATGCCAGAGATGAACATCAAGGCCCCCAAGATCTCCATGCCTGATGTGGATTTACATATGAAAGGTCCCAAGGTGAAGGGAGAGTATGATGTAACAGTACCAAAGCTGGAAGGGGACCTGAAAGGCCCAAAAGTAGATGTCAGTGCCCCAGATGTTGAAGTGCATGGTCCTGATTGGAACCTGAAGATGCCAAAGATTAAAATGCCCAAATTTAGCATGCCCAGCCTCAAAGGAGAGGGCACAGAATTGGATGTGAACCTACCCAAGGCTAACGTGGACATTTCTGCACCAAAGGTAGATATTAGTGCTCCAGATCTGAGCCTTGAAGGACCTGAAGGAAAGTTGAAAGGCCCTAAGTTTAAGATGCCCGAGATGCACTTCAAAGCACCTAAGATGTCTATGCCAGATGTCAACCTGGATCTTAAAGGACCCAAAATGAAAGGAAATCTAGATATATCTGCACCAAAAATAGAAGGTGAAATGAATGTTCCAGATGTGGACATCAAAGGTCCAAAGGTAGACATTAAAGCACCTGATGTGGACGTTCAAGGCCCAGATTGGAGTCTGAAAATGCCAAAGATGAAAATGCCCAAGTTCAGCATGCCCAGCCTCAAAGGCGAGGGTCCAGATGTGGATGTGAACCTGCCTAAAGCTGACATTGATGTCTCAGTACCCAAGGTGGACATTGAAGCTCCAGATGTGAGCCTTGAGGGCCCAGAAGGGAAGCTGAAGGGTCCCAAGTTTAAGATGCCTGAGATGCACTTCAAAGCCCCCAAGATCTCCATGCCTGATGTGGACTTACACTTGAAAGGCCCCAAAGTCAAAGGGGATGTGGATGTGTCAGTGCCCAAGGTAGAAGGTGAGATGAAAGTGCCAGATGTTGACATCAAAGGGCCCAAAGTGGACATTGATGTCCCAGATGTTGATGTTCATGGCCCTGACTGGAACTTGAAAATGCCAAAGATGAAAATGCCCAAGTTCAGCATGCCCGGTTTCAAAGCAGAGGGCCCAGATGTCGATGTGAACCTGCCCAAGGCTGACATTGATGTGTCTGGACCCAAGATGGACATTGAAGCCCCTGATGTGAACCTTGAGGGGCCAGAAGGGAAGCTGAGGGGTCCCAAGTTTAAGATGCCTGAGATGCACTTCAAGGCCCCCAAGATCTCCATGCCTGATGTGGACTTACACTTGAAAGGCCCCAAAGTCAAAGGGGATATGGATGTGTCAGTGCCCCAGATAGAAGGTGAAATGAAAGTGCCAGATGTTGACATCAAAGGGCCCAAAGTGGACATTGACGCTCCAGATGTTGATGTTCATGGTCCTGACTGGCACCTGAAGATGCCGAAGATGAAAATGCCCAAGTTCAGCATGCCCGGTTTCAAAGCAGAAAGTCCAGAAGTGGATGTGAACTTGCCGAAGGCTGACATTGATGTCTCAGGACCCAAGGTGGACATTGAAGTCCCTGATGTGAGCCTCGAGGGTCCAGAGGGGAAGCTGAAGGGTCCTAAATTTAAGATGCCTGAGATGCACTTCAAGTCCCCCAAGATCTCCATGCCTGATGTGGACCTGAATCTTAAAGGGCCCAAAGTAAAGGGTGATGTGGATGTGTCTTTGCCTGAAGTAGAAGGTGAAATGAAAGTGCCGGATGTTGACATTAAAGGGCCCAAAGTTGACATCAGTGCTCCAGATGTTGATGTTCATGGCCCCGACTGGCACCTGAAGATGCCCAAAATGAAAATGCCCAAGTTCAGCATGCCCGGTTTCAAAGGAGAGGGCCCAGAAGTGGATGTGAACCTACCCAAAGCCAACATTGATGTCTCAGGACCCAAGGTGGATGTTGAAGTTCCAGATATGAATATTGAAGGTCCAGATGCGAAACTAAAAGGTCCCAAATTTAAGATGCCAGAAATGAATATAAAGCCTCAGAAAATACCTATGCCAGATGTTGGTTTGCATTTGAAAGGTCCTAAAATGAAAGGAGATTATGATGTTACAGCTCCAAAACTAGAGGGAGAGATAAAAGCTCCTGATGTTGATATCAAAGGCCCAAAAGTTGACATTAACACACCAGATGTGGAAGTTCATGGTCCAGACTGGCACCTGAAGATGCCCAAGGTGAAAATGCCAAAGTTCAGCATGCCTGGCTTCAAAGGTGAGGGCCCAGAAGTTGATGTGAACCTGCCCAAGGCTGGTATTGATGTCTCAGGACCCAAGGTGGACATTGGTGCTGCAGATGTGAATCTTGAAGCTCCAGAGGGAAAACTAAAAGGCCCTAAGTTCAAGATGCCAAGCATGAATATACAGACACACAAAATCTCTATGCCTGATGTTGGACTTAATCTGAAAGCCCCTAAGCTGAAAACAGATGTAGATGTTTCCCTTCCCAAAGTGGAAGGAGACTTGAAAGGTCCTGACATTGATGTGAAAGCCCCTAAGATGGATGTTAATGTTGGTGATATTGATATTGAATGTCCAGAAGGAAAGTTGAAAGGCCCCAAGTTTAAGATGCCAGACATGCACTTCAAGGCCCCCAAGATCTCCATGCCTGATGTGGACTTACACTTGAAAGGCCCCAAAGTCAAAGGGGATGTGGATGTGTCAGTGCCCAAGGTAGAAGGTGAAATGAAAATGCCAGATGTTGACATCAAAGGGCCCAAAGTGGACATTGACGCTCCGGATGTTGACGTTCATGGTCCTGACTGGCACCTGAAGATGCCGAAGATGAAAATGCCAAAGTTCAGCATGCCTGGCTTCAAAGCAGAGGGCCCAGATGTGGATGTGAACCTGCCCAAGGCCGACATTGATGTGTCTGGACCCAGTGTGGACATTGATGCTCCTGATTTGGAATTTGAGGGGCCAGAAGGAAAATTGAAAGGCTCCAAATTTAAGATGCCCAAATTGAATATCAAAGCTCCCAAGATATCCATGCCAGATGTGGACTTGAATTTGAAGGGACCGAAAGTGAAAGGAGAGATTGATGCTTCTCTACCAGAACTGCAAGGTGATCTCAGTAGCCCGCAAGTTGACATCAAGGGTCCTCGTGTAGATGTGGAGGTGCCTGATGTTGATCTGGAGTGTCCTGATGCAAAGTTGAAAGGCCCCAAGTTTAAGATGCCGGACATGCACTTCAAGGCCCCCAAGATCTCCATGCCTGATGTGGACTTACACTTGAAAGGCCCCAAAGTCAAAGGGGATGTGGATGTGTCTGTGCCAAAATTGGAAGGAGATTTGAAAGGCCCCAGTGTCGATGTGGAGGTGCCTGATGTTGATCTGGAGTGTCCTGATGCAAAGTTGAAAGGCCCCAAGTTTAAGATGCCAGACATGCACTTCAAGGCCCCCAAGATCTCCATGCCTGATGTAGACTTACACTTGAAAGGCCCCAAAGTCAAAGGGGATGTGGATGTGTCAGTGCCCAAGGTAGAAGGTGAAATGAAAATGCCAGATGTTGACATCAAAGGGCCTAAAGTGGACATTGATGTCCCAGATGTTGACGTTCATGGTCCTGACTGGCACCTGAAGATGCCGAAGATGAAAATGCCCAAGTTCAGCATGCCTGGCTTCAAAGCAGAGGGCCCCGATGTCGATGTGAACCTGCCCAAGGCTGACATTGATGTCTCGGGACCCAAGGTGGACATTGAAGCCCCTGATGTGAACCTTGAGTGTCCAGAAGGGAAATTGAAGGGTCCCAAGTTTAAGATGCCTGAGATGCACTTTAAGGGTCCCAAGATCTCCATGCCTGATGTGGACTTACACTTGAAAGGCCCCAAAGTCAAAGGGGATATGGATGTGTCTATGCCAAAATTGGAAGGAGATTTGAAAGGCCCCAGTGTTGATGTGGAGGTGCCTGATGTTGATTTGGAGTGTCCTGATGCAAAGTTGAAAGGCCCCAAGTTTAAGATGCCAGACATGCACTTCAAGGCCCCCAAGATCTCCATGCCTGATGTGGACTTACACTTGAAAGGCCCCAAAGTCAAAGGGGATGTGGATGTGTCAGTGCCCAAGGTAGAAGGTGAAATGAAAATACCAGATGTTGACATCAAAGGGCCCAAAGTGGACATTGATGTCCCAGATGTTGACGTTCATGGTCCTGACTGGCACCTGAAGATGCCGAAGATGAAAATGCCCAAGTTCAGCATGCCCGGTTTCAAAGCAGAGGGCCCAGATGTCGATGTGAACCTGCCCAAGGCTGACATTGATGTCTCGGGACCCAAGGTGGACATTGAAGCCCCTGATGTGAACCTTGAGGGTCCAGAAGGGAAGCTGAGGGGTCCCAAGTTTAAGATGCCTGAGATGCACTTCAAGGCCCCTAAGATCTCCATGCCTGATGTTGATTTTAACTTAAAGGGGCCAAAAATCAAAGGCGATGTTGATGTTTCTGCCCCCAAGCTGGAGGGAGATTTAAGGGGTCCAGAATTGGATGTCAAGGGCCCTAAATTGGATGTTGACATGCCAGAAGTAGCTGTGGAAGGCCCAGATGGCAAATGGAAAAGTCCCAAGTTCAAGATGCCAGACATGCACTTTAAAGCTCCCAAAATCTCCATGCCAGACATTGATCTGCACTTAAAGAGTCCCAAGGTAAAGGGAGAAGTGGATGTAGATGTTCCCAAATTAGAAGGTGACTTCAAAGGGCCACATGTGGACATGAGTGGGCCAGACATTGACATAGAAGGCCCAGAGGGCAAATTGAAAGGACCCAAGTTCAAGATGCCTGATATGCACTTCAAAGCCCCCAATATTTCTATGCCTGATATCGACCTAAATCTGAAAGGACCAAAAATCAAGGGGGATGTAGATGTGTCTGTGCCCGAGGTAGAAAGTAAAATGAAAGTACCAGATGTGAACATCAAAGGCCCCAAAGTAGATGTTGATGCTCCTGATGTTCATGGCCCAGACTGGCACCTGAAGATGCCTAAGATGAAAATGCCCAAGTTCAGCATGCCTGGCTTCAAAGGCGAGGGCCCAGAAGTGGATGTGAACCTGCCCGAGGCTGACATTGATGTTTCAGGACCCAAGGTGGACATTGAAGGCCCTGATGTTAATATTGAAGGACCAGAAGGGAAGTTGAAAGGGCCTAAGTTCAAGATGCCTGAGATGAACATCAAAGCCCCCAAGATCTCCATGCCTGACTTTGATTTGCATCTGAAAGGTCCCAAGGTAAAGGGTGATGTGGATGTTTCTCTACCCAAAGTGGAGGGTGATCTAAAGGGCCCTGAAGTTGATATCAAAGGCCCCAAATTGGACATCAATGCCCCAGATGTCGATGTGCAAGGCCCAGACTGGCACTTGAAGATGCCCAAGATGAAAATGCCCAAGTTCAGCATGCCTGGTTTCAAAGGTGAGGGTCCAGAAGTGGATGTGAACCTGCCCAAGGCTGACATTGATGTCTCAGGACCCAAAGTGGATGTTGCAGGCCCTGATGTTAACATTGAAGGACCAGAGGGAAAGTTGAAAGGGCCTAAGTTCAAGATGCCTGAGATGAACATCAAAGCCCCCAAGGTCTCCATGCCAGAGTTTGATTTACACATGAAAGGTCCTAAAGTAAAGGGCGATGTGGATGTTTCTCTGCCCAAAGTGGAAGGTGACCTCAAGGGCCCCGAAGTAGACATTAAGGGCCCCAAAGTGGACATAAATGCTCCGGATGTTGATGTTCAAGGCCCAGACTGGCACCTGAAGATGCCCAAGATAAAAATGCCAAAGTTCAGCATGCCTGGATTCAAAGGTGAGGGCCCAGATGTGGATGTGAACCTGCCCAAGGCTGACATTGATGTCTCAGGACCCAAAGTGGATGTTGAATGTCCTGATGTCGATATTGAAGGGCCTGAAGGAAAGTGGAAAAGCCCAAAGTTTAAGATGCCTGAAATGCATTTTAAGACTCCAAAGATATCCATGCCAGATATTGACCTTAATCTAACAGGTCCAAAAATAAAAGGAGATGTGGATATTACAGGTCCCAAGGTAGAGGGAGATCTGAAAGGCCCTGAAGTTGACCTCAAGGGGCCCAAAGTGGACATTGATGTTCCTGATGTAGATGTTCAAGGCCCAGATTGGCACTTGAAGATGCCCAAGATGAAAATGCCCAAGTTCAGCATGCCTGGCTTCAAAGGTGAGGGCCCTGAACTGGATGTGAAGGTGCCCAAGGCTGATATTGACGTCTCAGGACCCAAGGTGGACATTGAAGGCCCTGATGTTAATATTGAAGGACCAGAAGGGAAGTTGAAAGGGCCTAAGTTCAAGATGCCTGAGATGAACATCAAAGCCCCCAAGATCTCCATGCCTGACTTTGATTTGCATCTGAAAGGTCCCAAGGTGAAGGGTGATGTGGACGTTTCCCTTCCCAAAGTAGAAGGTGATCTAAAAGGCCCAGAGGTGGATATCAAAGGCCCAAAGTGGACATCAGTGCCCAGATGTCGATGTGCAGGCCCAGACTGGCACCTTAAGATGCCTAAGGTGAAAATGCCCAAGTTCAGCATGCCTGGCTTCAAAGGAGAGGGTCCGGAAGTGGATGTGAACCTGCCCAAGGCTGACATTGATGTCTCAGGACCCAAGGTGGACATTGAAGGCCCTGATGTTAACATTGAAGGACCAGAAGGGAAGTTGAAAGGGCCTAAGTTCAAGATGCCTGAGATGAACATAAGCCCCCAAGATCTCATGCCAGATATCGATCTTAACTTGAAAGGCCCCAAAGTGAAGGGGATATGGATGTGTCTCTGCCAAAATGGAAGGTGATGTGAAAGTTCCTGAAGTGGATATCAAAGCCCCAAAGTGGACATCGATGCCCAGATTGGGATGTTCATGGCCCAGACTGGCACCTGAAGATGCCTAAGATCAAAATGCCCAAGTTCAGCATGCCTGGCTTCAAGGTGAGGCCCAGAAGTTGATGTGAACCTGGCCAAGGCTGACATTGATGTCTCAGGGCCCAAGGGACATTGATTTCAGATGCTGAATAATTGAAGGTCCAGATGCAAAACTGAAGGGCCCCAAGTTCAAGATGCCTGAGATGAATATCAAGGCTCCTAAAATATCAATGCCAGATTTGGACATTAATCTTAAAGGCCCTAAAATGAAAGGAGATGTGGATGTTTCACTTCCTAATGTAGCAGGTGATTTGAAAGGGCCTACTGTTGACATAAAGGGCCCGAAGTTAGATGTAGATGCTCCAGATATAGACATTCATGGCCCAGATGCCAAATTAAAAGGTCCAAAACTGAAGATGCCCGACATGCATGTAAACATGCCCAAGATCTCCATGCCAGAAATTGACTTGAATTTGAAAGGCTCAAAGCTGAAGGGAGATGTTGATATTTCTGGGCCCAAACTGGAAGGTGACATTAAAGGTCTTAATATGGATGTAAAGGGCCCAGAAGTAGACATTTCTGGTCCTAAACTCAATGTTGAAGGCAAGTCAAAGAAATCTCGTTTTAAGCTTCCCAAGTTTAATTTTTCAGGCTCCAAGGTTCAGACACCTGAGGTTGATGTCAAAGTTAAAAAGCCAGATATTGATGTAACTGGTCCAAAAGTTGATATTAATGCACCTGATGTTGAGGTCCAAGGAAAAGTGAAAGGATCCAAGTTTAAAATGCCTTTCCTGAGTATTTCTTCTCCCAAAGTTTCTATGCCTGATGTGGAACTAAATTTAAAAGGTCCTAAAGTCAAAGGAGACTTAGATGTTGCAGGTTCCAATTTAGAAGGTGAATTGAAAGGTCCTAAAGTAGATATTAAGGCACCAGAAGTCCATCTCAATGCACCTGATGTGGATGTTCATGGTCCAGACTGGAATCTGAAAATGCCCAAGATGAAAATGCCCAAGTTCAGTGTGCCTGGCTTAAAAGCAGAAGGACCAGATGTTGCTGTGGATCTACCACAAGGAGGCATGAACATAGAGGGTCCAAGTATGAACATTGAGGGCCCAGGAATCAATGTGGAAGGTCCAGAGGGAGAGTTAAAAGGTCCCAAATTCAAGATGCCTGACATAAATGTCAAAGCCCCTAAGGTCTCTGTGCCTGACATTGACTTAAACCTAAAGGGCCCCAAGGTGAAGGGTGACGTTGATGTTTCTCTTCCCAAACTTGAAGGGGATCTAAAAGGGCCAGAGGGTGATATCAAAGGCCCAAAAGTGGACATTGGTGCCCCAGATGTGGATGTTCATGGTCCAGACTGGCACCTGAAGATGCCCAAGGTAAAAATGCCCAAGTTCAGCATGCCTGGCTTCAAAGGAGAGGGTCCTGAAGTGGATGTTACCCTTCCTAAAGCAGACATTGACATTTCTGGACCCAATGTAGACATTGATGTTCCAAATGTGAATATTGAAGGTCCAGATGCAAAACTGAAGGGCCCCAAATTCAAGATGCCAGAGATGAACATCAAAGCTCCCAAGATTTCCATGCCTGACTTTGATCTGAACCTAAAGGGACCCAAAATGAAGGGTGATATGGATGTGTCCTTGCCAAAAGTGGAAGGTGATCTAAAGGGCCCTGAAGTGGACATGAAGGGCCCCAAAGTGGATATTGAGACTCCTGATATTAACATTGAAGGCCCAGAGGGTAAGTTGAAGGGACCCAAATTCAAGATGCCAGAGATGCACTTAAAAGCTCCCAAAATATCAATGCCTGATATTGATTTAAATCTGAAGGGCCCCAAGATGAAGGGTGATGTGGACGTTTCCCTTCCCAAAGTAGAAGGTGATCTAAAAGGCCCAGAGGTGGATATCAAAGGCCCCAAAGTGGACATCAGTGCCCCAGATGTCGATGTGCAAGGCCCAGACTGGCACCTTAAGATGCCTAAGGTGAAAATGCCCAAGTTCAGCATGCCTGGCTTCAAAGGAGAGGGTCCAGAAGTGGATGTGAACCTGCCCAAGGCTGACATTGATGTCTCAGGACCCAAGGTGGACATTGAAGGCCCTGATGTTAACATTGAAGGACCAGAAGGGAAGTTGAAAGGGCCTAAGTTCAAGATGCCTGAGATGAACATCAAAGCCCCCAAGATCTCCATGCCAGATATCGATCTTAACTTGAAAGGCCCCAAAGTGAAGGGTGATATGGATGTGTCTCTGCCAAAAGTGGAAGGTGATGTGAAAGTTCCTGAAGTGGATATCAAAGGCCCCAAAGTGGACATCGATGCCCCAGATGTGGATGTTCATGGCCCAGACTGGCACCTGAAGATGCCTAAGATCAAAATGCCCAAGTTCAGCATGCCTGGCTTCAAAGGTGAGGGTCCAGAAGTTGATGTGAACCTGGCCAAGGCTGACATTGATGTCTCAGGGCCCAAGGTGGACATTGATGTTCCAGATGTGAATATTGAAGGTCCAGATGCAAAACTGAAGGGCCCCAAGTTCAAGATGCCTGAGATGAACATTAAAGCCCCTAAGATCTCCATGCCTGATTTTGATTTGCACTTGAAAGGTCCTAAGGTGAAAGGAGATGTCGATGTTTCTCTTCCAACAGTGGAAGGTGATCTAAAGGCCCCTGATGTTGATATTAAAGGTCCCAAAGTGGATATTGAGGCCCCAGATGTGGATGTTCATGGCCCAGACTGGCATCTGAAGATGCCCAAGGTGAAAATGCCCAAGTTCAGCATGCCTGGCTTCAAAGGAGAGGGCCCAGAAGTGGATGTTAATTTGCCCAAGGCTGACATTGATGTCTCAGGACCCAAAGTGGACATTGATACTCCTGACATTGACATTCATGGTCCAGAAGGAAAACTGAAGGGTCCCAAGTTTAAAATGCCTGACCTGCACCTCAAGGCACCCAAGATCTCCATGCCTGAAGTTGATTTGAATTTGAAGGGTCCAAAGGTGAAGGGAGACATGGATGTTTCTCTGCCCAAAGTAGAAGGTGACCTCAAAGGCCCTGAAGTTGACATCAAGGGGCCCAACGTGGACATCCATGCCCCAGATGTTGATGTTCATGGCCCAGACTGGCACCTCAAAATGCCCAAGGTAAAAATGCCAAAGTTCAGCATGCCTGGCTTCAAAGGAGAGGGTCCAGATGTGGATGTGAACCTGCCTAAGGCTGACATAGCTGTCTCAGGGCCCAAGGTGGACATTGATGTTCCAGATGTAAATGTTGAAGGTCCAGATGCAAAACTGAAGGGCCCCAAGTTCAAGATGCCCGAGATGAACATCAAAGCCCCCAAGATCTCTATGCCTGATATTGACTTAAACTTGAAAGGTCCCAAAGTAAAGGGTGGTATGGATGTTTCTCTTCCTAAAGTGGAAGGTGACCTAAAAGGCCCTGAAGTTGACCTCAAAGGCCCCAAAGTGGACATTGATGTCCCTGATATGGATGTTCATGGCCCAGACTGGCACCTGAAGATGCCCAAGGTGAAAATGCCCAAGTTCAGCATGCCTGGCTTCAAAGGAGAGGGCCCAGAAGTGGATGTTACACTTCCTAAAGCTGACATTGACATTTCTGGCCCCAAAGTGGATATTGATACCCCAGATGTCAACATTGAAGGTCCAGATGCAAAACTGAAGGGCCCCAAATTCAAGATGCCAGAGATGAACATCAAAGCCCCCAAAATCTCTATGCCTGACATTGACTTTAACTTAAAGGGTCCCAAAGTGAAGGGTGATGTGGATGTCTCTCTGCCCAAAGTGGAAGGTGATCTCAAAGGCCCTGAAGTTGATATCAAGGTCCCCAGTGTGGACATTGATACTCCTGGTGTTAATATTGAAGGTCCAGAAGGAAAATTGAAGGGACCCAAATTTAAGATGCCTGAAATGAACATCAAAGCCCCCAAGATCTCTATGCCTGACTTTGATTTGCATCTGAAAGGTCCCAAAGTAAAAGGTGATGCGGACCTTTCACTACCTAAGGTGGAAGGTGATCTGAAAGGGCCAGAGCTGGACATTGAAGGTCCTGAAGGGAAACTCAAAGGTCCCAAATTTAAGATGCCTGATGTTCATTTCAAAACTCCACAAATCTCCATGAGTGACATTGACTTAAACTTGAAAGGACCTAAGATAAAAGGAGATGTGGATGTTTCTATTCCTAAACTGGAAGGAGATCTGAAAGGCCCCAAAGTGGACATTAAAGGCCCTAAGCTGGACATAGACACTCCTGACATTGACATTCACGGTCCAGAAGGAAAATTGAAGGGCCCCAAGTTTAAAATGCCTGACCTGCACCTCAAGGCCCCCAAGATCTCCATGCCTGAAGTTGATCTAAATCTAAAAGGTCCAAAAGTGAAAGGTGATGTGGATGTTTCTTTGCCCAAAGTAGAAGGTGACCTCAAGGGCCCCAATGTTGATATCAGAGGTCCTAAAGTGGATATTGATGTCCCAGATGTTGATGTTCATGGCCCAGACTGGCACCTGAAGATGCCCAAGGTGAAAATGCCCAAGTTCAGCATGCCCGGTTTCAAAGGTGAGGGCCCAGATATGGATGTGAACCTGCCCAAAGCTGACATTGATGTCTCAGGACCCAAGGTGGACATTGATATTCCAGATGTGAGCCTTGAGGGTCCAGAAGGGAAGCTGAGGGGTCCCAAGTTCAAGATGCCTGAGATGAACATCAAAGCCCCCAAGATCTCCATGCCTGATATCGACTTAAACTTGAAAGGTCCCAAAGTGAAGGGAGACATGGATGTTTCTTTGCCCAAAGTAGAAGGTGACCTCAGAGGCCCTGAAGTTGACATCAAGGGCCCTAAGGTGGACATTGATATACCAGATGTAAATATTGAAGGTCCAGATGCAAAACTGAAGGGCCCCAAGTTCAAGATGCCTGAGATGAACATCAAAGCCCCTAAGATCTCCATGCCTGATATTGACTTAAACTTGAGAGGTCCCAAAGTCAAGGGAGACATGGATGTTTCTCTGCCCAAAGTGGAAGGTGACCTCAAAGGCCCTAAAGTTGACATCAAGGGACCCAACGTGGACATTAATGCCCCAGATGTGGATGTTCATGGCCCAGACTGGCACCTGAAAATGCCCAAGGTAAAAATGCCCAAGTTCAGCATGCCTGGCTTCAAAGGAGAGGGTCCAGAAGTGGATGTGAACCTGCCTAAAGCTGATATTGATGTCTCAGGACCCAAGCTAGACATTGACTTTCCAGATGTTAATATCGAAGGTCCAGATGCTAAACTGAAAGGTCCCAAGTTCAAGATGCCTGAAGTAAATATCAAGGCTCCCAAGATCTCCATGCCGGATGTCGACCTGGATTTGAAAGGACCCAAAGTAAGAGGAGATTGTGATATATCTGTCCCTAAGATGGAAGGTTCTTTGAAAGGCCCAGAGGTGGACCTTAAAGGTCCAAGTCTGGACTTTGAAGGCCCTGATGCCAAACTCAGTGGCCCGGCTTTGAAGATGCCATCACTGGATATATCTGCTCCTAAAGTATCTGTTCCTGATGTTGATTTACACCTCAAGGCACCCAAAATTGGAGTTTCTGGTCCGAAGATAGAAGGTGCTGAAGTGGACCTGAAGGGGCCCAAAGTGGATTTAGAAGCTCCAAGCTTAGATGTACACATGGAGAGCCCAGATATTAATATTGAGGGGCCAGATGTTAAAATCCCCAAATTTAAGAAACCCAAGTTTGGATTTGGGGCAAAAAGCCCCAAAGCTGACATCAAGTCCCCTTCACTAGATGTGACTGTTCCTGAGGCAGAGCTGAACCTTGAGGCTCCTGAAATTAGTGTTGGTGGCAAGGGCAAGAAAAGTAAGTTTAAAATGCCTAAAATTCATATGAGTGGTCCTAAAATTAAGGCCAAAAAACAGGGATTTGATTTGAATGTTCCTGGGGGTGAAATTGATGCCAGTCTCAAGGCTCCTGATGTGGATGTCAACGTTTCGGGGCCGGACGCTGCACTCAAACTTGATGTGAAATCTCCCAAAACCAAGAAACCTATGTTTGGAAAAATGTACTTCCCAGATGTAGAGTTTGACATTAAATCACCTAAATTTAAAGCTGAAGCCCCCCTCCCTAGCCCCAGAATGGAGGGTGAAATCCAGGCGCCTGATTTGGATATTTCTTCACCAGGGATTAATGTTGAAGGTCCTGACATCAAGGTAAAGGCGCCCAAGTTCAAGATGCCAGGTGTGGATGTCTCAGGGCCAAAATTAGAGGGTGATTTGAAAGGTCCCAGGGTGCAGGCAAACTTGGACGCACCTGACATCAATGTTGAAGGCCCTAATGCTAAAGTCAAGGCACCATCTTTTGGCATTTCTGCCCCTCAAGTCTCCATCCCTGATGTGAATGTCAACTTGAAAGGACCAAAGATAAAGGGTGATGTCCCCAGTGTGGGACTGGAAGGACCAGACATAGATCTGCAAGGTCCAGAAGCAAAAATCAAGTTCCCCAAGTTTTCGATGCCCAAGATCGGTGTCCCCGGTGTGAAAATGGAAGGTGGAGGTGCTGAGGTCCATGCCCAGCTTCCCTCTCTTGAAGGAAGCTTGAATGCACCAGATGTTAAGCTTGAAGGGCCTGATGTCTCTCTAACGGGGCCAGGAGTAGACTTGCCTTCAGTGAATCTCTCTATGCCAAAAGTCTCTGGGCCTGACCTTGACCTGAACTTGAAAGGACCAAGTGTGAAGGGAAACGTGGATACATCTGTCCCTGGCATGAAGGTGCAGGCTCCAGGGCTCGACCTCAGAGGTGTTGGTGGAAAGGTGCAGATAGGAGGAGACGGTGTGAAAGTGCCGGGGATCGATGCTACGACAACACTTAACGTTGGGGCACCAGACGTGACACTGAGGGGACCAAGCTTGCAGGGAGACCTGGCTGTGTCTGGTGACATCAAGTGCCCTAAAGTATCTGTAGGAGCTCCTGATCTAAGCTTGGAGGCATCTGAAGGCGGCATTAAACTTCCTAAAATGAAGCTGCCCCAGTTTGGCATCTCTACTCCAGGGTCCGACTTGGACATTAATGTCAAGGGGCCACAAGTTGCTGGAGAACTAAAGGGGCCAGGCGTGGATGTGAACCTCAGAGGGCCTCAGATTTCAGCACCGGACATGGACTTTAACTTGGAAGGACCAAAAGTGAAAGGGAGCCTTGGGGCCACTGGTGAGCTGAGAGGCCCTACGGTCGCAGGAGGTCTTCCAGGCGTGAGTGTTCAAGGCATAGAAGGAAACTTCCAGATACCTGGAATTAAGTCCTCTGGATGTGATGTGGCCCTGCCAGGTGTGCATGTGAAACTCCCAACCGGGCAGATTTCTGGTCCTGAAATCAAAGGCGATCTGAAAGGCTCAGGAGTAGGTTTCCACGGGGCTGCTCCTGACATCGGCGTGAAGGGGCCGTCCTTCAGTGTGGCATCTCCTGACTCAGATCTTGGCGTCAGCTTGAAGGGCCCGAAAATCAAAGGAGGTGTGGATGTTTCCGCAGGTGTCAGTGCCCCAGATATCAGCTTGGATGCAGGGCATATGAGTGTCAAAGGTTCCGGGGGTGACTGGAAGGGACCCCAGGTTTCCTCTGCTCTCAACTTGGACACATCTAGGTTTGCTGGGGGCCTTCATTTCTCAGGACCAAAGGTAGAAGGAGGTGTGAAAGGAGGTCAGATTGGACTTCAGGCTCCGGGGCTGAGTGTGTCTGGGCCTCAAGGTCACCTGGAAAGCGGATCTGGAAAAGTAACATTCCCCAAGATGAAGATCCCCAAGTTCACCTTCTCTGGCCGTGAGCTGGTTGGCAGAGAAGTGGGGGTGGACATTAACTTCCCTAAAGCAGAGGCCAGTGTCCAGGCCGGTGCCGGAGAAGGCGAGTGGGAGGAGTCCGAAGTAAAACTTAAAAAATCCAAAATCAAAATGCCCAAGTTTAATTTTTCCAAGCCTAAAGGGAAAGGTGGTGTCACTGGCTCGCCGGAAGCATCCATTTCTGGGTCCAAAGGTGACCTGAAAAGTTCAAAGGCCAGCCTGGGCTCTCTGGAAGGAGAGGCAGAGGCCGAAGCCTCTTCACCCAAAGGCAAATTCTCCTTGTTCAAAAGTAAAAAGCCACGGCACCGCTCGAATTCATTCAGTGATGAGAGAGAGTTCTCTGCACCTTCCACCCCCACGGGGACTTTGGAGTTTGAAGGTGGGGAAGTGTCGTTGGAAGGCGGGAAGGTGAAAGGCAAACATGGGAAGCTGAAATTCGGTACCTTTGGTGGGTTGGGGTCGAAGAGCAAAGGTCATTATGAGGTGACTGGGAGCGATGATGAAGCAGGCAAGTTACAGGGAAGTGGAGTGTCCTTGGCCTCTAAGAAGTCCCGACTGTCCTCTTCTTCCAGCAATGACAGTGGGACTAAGGTTGGCATCCAGCTTCCGGAGGTGGAGCTGGCAGTGTCCACAAAGAAAGAGTAGAGGCCTCTGTATGTGTGTACATATATATATAGCAACACATCAGCCCGGCGTGTTTGTATATAAACTCCAGAGAGAAACACGCCGACAGCCTCAGCAATAATGCAAAGATTTTGCCTCTCCCGCTGGCAAGCGCTGAAAAACCAACCGCCTTTAGGCTCCTGGAACTATACAGCTAGGTAAAGAATTCCAAGTTCGTCCAGCCCATGTGCAAAATCAGCAATATTTGCCTTAAGATTTCAGGTTTTTTTGCATTGAATGCTGAGAGCTCCTGTTTACTAAGCAAGCTTTTGTGTTTTTGTTATCCTCATTTTTCCTGAACTTTGTTAGTCTTGGGGTATTGGAAACCCACTTTTTCATTGTAATGCCTTTTGGGGCTTTTGTTAGTAAGGGGGGGTGGGGTAATAGGCAGCAGAGGGGGCCACATCCCATTTCTCCTGATATTGGATCCATTCAAACAGCAAACACTCAAAGACGGCTGAAGGAGGCGGCAGCCGGGTGTGGGGTGTTTTTAGAGCTCTTTAGCATTGCTTTTTCCCCAGGGGTGGCGGTCCCAGCTGGTTTAGTGCTGATGGGGAGAGGGAATTGAAATTTGTTTGCAAATTGTCCAACCCACCAGCTCAACATGAGGGGCTCCAGTCTGTGTTTTGTAAGAGAAATGTTTTATTTACAACCGCCGTGCTCCTGATACTCTGATTTCTTTTAACAAATGTTATCATGATTAAGAAAATTTCCAGCACTTTAATGGCAAATTAATTGAGAATGTAAGAAAATCGATGCTGTACCAGGCAAATAAAGCTGTTTATTAACCCTGACGTCCCGTGCCTTTGCATTCTGTGTTGTGGGGCTGAACCGGGGCAGCAGGACACCCAGCCCTGACCGTTCAGAACAGATCCACCCCGGAGTGTTGCTATTTCATCAGTGACTTTAGGCAGTGACCTCCGCACAGCTGGCATTCTTTGCTCCTTGGTGTCCAGTGTGAGGCTGGGTGCACCATTGCTGAGAAAGGAAGAGAGGCTTGGTCCCAGGACCCGCCCACCAACTTTGCATCCTCAGATGTGAATACAAGATTCAGAAATGGTTCTAAATGGGGAAAAGGGTATAGGTGTGAATGGATAAAAGGCCTACTGGAGTGGAAGAAAGGGCTGTGCCTGTGAGCCTGGGGCTTGCTTTCTGTTCCTGACTTGCCTGCAGGTTTTGCTGGGTGGCCTCAATCTACCTGCCCTCTGTTGGCCTCAGTTTCCTCTTTGAAATAAGGTGCTGATCTTGTATAAGATATCTTTATGGTCCTTTCTAGTCCATTTTAGGGATAAACATTATGAAAAATCTCTTCTGACCCAAGTCATCTTTTCATCTCCAGCTCTGTAGACAATACATTGGGTTGGGGCGAGGGGACTTCTATTAACTGGCTCCTAATGTTGGTCATTGCTGGGCAGAGAGAAGTACCTTCTCGTACCAAAACAATTGGACCAAGCCCGTCCCCCTCGCTGTTCCCCAGAGCTGCTGCCTTTCTGCGGGTGGAGGCAACCCCAGCCCTCTCTGGTTCTCCCAGACCAGAGATGACAGCTCCTACCCCACCCCACCCTCTCCAGCGCTGGCTTCTCCATGGATTTCTGCATGTGCAGTGAGATCTCCTGCCAGTGTGGGCTCCACCTGTCCTTGCTTGGATTTCAGACATGCCTTCTCCACTTCATCTGTTCCCACACGGGACAGCAGAGTTTGTGTTCTTGGGGGTTTTGTAGCTCAGGGTGGCCCCTTGGTTTTGGAAAGAGGTAGGTTTGGAGGGAGGCCCTTGATCCCCTGATGCATTTCTCTAGATGACTGACCTCACGGCTACTTTTCCTCACCCATAAATGGGGGTAGCATCCATAGGGCTGGAGAGCCTGTTCAAGTATCTGGGTTACGTACTGTGCAAGAGCACCACATTTAAGTGTGCCGCATTCATGTCACAGCCATATGTTTATTTATGGAGAGCAGGAGGGCAGGTACGGAGTCCTAGAGAGGTGGGAGTGAGTCCCGCTTCTACAGAAACCCCTGGTGCACGGGGGGTGAGCAAGCACACACCCAGTGCACACACACCTGCACGCTGTCCTGACCGGGCCTGGGCACCCCTCAGGATGCTTCTTTCACTCAGCTCGAAGCCCAGCTCCTGTCTTTCAGCTCTGAAGCTGACGGTGCAGGGTGGGGCAGAGGGTGCATGCTGCCCCAAATGATGGCCCTGGTGTCTGCAGCAGAAGTTGAGTGGGTGACAATGGGGTACACATGTGTACATAGCTGGGGGTGCCCTTTAGGAGGCAGGAAAGATCCCTGGGGCAGAACTACCCAGGTTGTCCAATAATAGATCAATTTGAAAAAATGGTACCGGGCATGGTGGCTCATGTCTGTAATCTCAGCACATTGGGAAGCCAAGGAGGGAGGATCGCTTCAGGTCAGAAATTTGAGACTAGCCTGGGCAACACAGGAAGATCTTGTCTTTACAAAGAATAAAAAAAGGAGCTGGGTGTAATGGTACATGCCTGTAGTCCCAGCTACTGGGGAGGCTGAGGCAGAAGGATCCCTTGAGCCAAGGACCTGGAGGTTACACCGAGCTATGATTGTGCCTTTGCACGACAACCTAGGTATTTCTAAAAAAGATTTTTTTTTTAAATTTCTTTTTAGCTTGAGGAAGAGCTGATGCAAGTTAGCTGTGGCCCTTAGTGTTCATTCATTCAATAAATACATTTTTTCTTTTATAATTTTTTTCTTTTTTATTTATTTTATTATACTTCATTTCCTTTTTTTTTTTTTTGACCTGCATGAACTAATAGTGTCTTATTCAATAAATATTTTTTGAGTCCCGTGTGGCTGGATGTGTCCCAGCCCCACTGATCCCAGATTTCTCCTCTGCCGACCTCCACAGACCAAATGATGTGATGGGTGTGAAAAACCGGAATGCTCTGAACACTGGAAATAAACTCGTGGACATCAGGCATCCACCAGGGATAATGAGGCCAGTGACAGTTGCTGAGTTCTCAGGGCAAGACCTCACTCGCTGGGACAGTCAGGGGGTGGTGGGTAGGATGGAGAAAGAACACGGCAACTGGCCATTCAAACTTGAGAAACTTCTCAGCTGCCTCCTCTCACATCAGGCCCAGGCGGGAGGCGGTGGCCACAGGACAGGAGTGCTCCCTCCTGCAGGGACCACTGCCATAGCGGGGGTGGCGGCACAGGAGCAGGGCAACGGGGGTGGGGGGCTGGTGGAGGGCCCATCCCAGGTGGCCTCGCTCCCCTCCCACCTGCCCACTCTCCTGACCCTCTCTCCCTCTGTTCCCCGGATGCCTTCATCACTACCCACCCCTGCCTTCTCTCAGTCCCTAGCAGGAATGGTCCAAGTTATCCCCAAAGTCCTGCAGGGGCCCAGACTTGCAAGGTCTTATGCTCTGAGGACTCGGTTCCCACATTCGAGGGTGAGAGCAGTGCCAGGAGACTGGGGAGGAGGCTGGGGGGCTCTTCCACGTCCTTCCTCAGAGTGCCAGCAAGGAGTGATTGCAAGGACTGCAGCCTTAAGGTCTACCTCGCTTCAGGCAGTGTGACCTTGCGTGGACAATGGTGTGGTTGAGGGTGCATTTGGAAAACCGAATTATTTGCAATGCACCATCGCCTCACAAAGGGCCGGGAATAGTTTTCAGAAACTCAAACTCATTTCTCAAAACAACAGTTCCATTTGAAGATAGTTCAACCAAAAGGACTTTAATAAAGGGACTGTTTACTGAGTAGTGAGCAGGGCCAAAGGAGCCAACAAGGGCTGGTGAGCCCCCCAGAGACAGTGGGGAGCTCATACTATCCCTGGGCCTGAAGGGGCACAGGGAAGAAATGGTGTTCCTGAAGTCCAGCTTGAGCAGGAGGTAGAGGAGGGGCAGGGGCTGTAGCCATGGGGGACCACAGGACCTGCCAGAACGCCGGCCACGTGAAGCAGGAAGAAATAGCCGACCCCTCGCTCATAAGGAAGCCCAGGTGTTGCAGGTGATCTCTTGGGGGCACAGCGCAGGGCAGAGAAGCAGGGAGGAGGGGTCTGAAGGCAGAGGGGGCAGCTATAGAATAATCAGGCCCATGTCCTCATCCTGTTGTTTTCCTGTTTGGTAAATTTGAATTTTTATGTATTGAGGTTTCTTAAAATAGCCACAGTTATGTGGGATGCATTTAAGGTATGATCATAAAGTAACTTGTCAATTTTTTCTTGAACATACTTATACATCCCGATGGCTGTTCTGTTCCCTGTTTGGGAACAGAAAATTAGAATGTTTGGGAAAGTGAAAATTAGAATTTTCATGGAAAATTAAAAATATTTTTGTTCTCTCTCTTTTGAAATTGCCTTTAGAGTCACCTGTACATTTACAAAGAAATGTCTTTGGGGAAACACAGATCTTCCTTTCTCGATGTCTGCAAATAGCCAAAGGGCCTGGAAGGTACCCCAGGGCTTCCAGGACAAGATCCTGGAAACATCACTGGCCTGGGAGTCAGTGAGATTTGCCGTGACCTTGGGCAAATCAAGGTCAATTTCTGAGCCTCTCAGTTTCCTTGTAACAAGGATAAGACATTCTCTAAGGTCCTTGCCAGCTCTACTAGCCCATGATCCTTTAAGAAGTAAGGCTGGTTAATTAACTGGATGGGCTGTTTTGGGTCAAAAACAAGGTGTGATTATAATGTAGTGCAACCAATTTTCTCATCTGGCTGGAAAGTTGTCTCAAATGTTTTGAGCAAAGATAGCACTGTCGAAATACTGCTATGTCTCCAGCATTCCAAAGCAAATAGCCCAGTACCTCCCAACACTTTGTGTGTTGCTAACATACATGTCCCATTTCTGAGTGCCACCTTAGCTCTCTGGTATTGTGTATTAGCTGTGACATTAAGAAACATTATCTGGGAGATGTACCTAGGAATGTAACTGAAATTCCTTTTTTTTTTTTTCCATTTATTTATTTATTTTGTAATATATTTTTTTATTTCGGCATATTATGGGGGTACATATTTTAAGGTTTCAATAAATGCCCATTTCCCCCCCTCCCCCCAAAAGTCTGAGTCTCCATCATGACCATCCCCCAGATGGTGCACATCTCACTCATTATGTATGTATATACCTGCCCCCCTCCCCCCTCCCACCTGCCCAATACCCTATTACTGTAGTACCTATGTGTCCACTTAGGTGCTACTCAGTTAATACCAGTTTGCTGGAGAATATATCTGGTGCTTGTTTTTCCATTTTTGGGATACTTCACTTAGTAGTATGGGTTCCAGCTCTAACCAGGAAAATATAAGATGTGCTATATCACCATTATTTCTTAGAGCTGAATAGTACTCCATGGTATACATATACCACATTTTATTAATCCATTCTTGGATTGATGGGCACTTGGGCTGTTTCCACAGCCTTGTGATTATGAATTGTGCTGCAATAAACATTCGAGTGCAGGTGTCTTTTTTGTAGAGTGTCATTGGATCATTTGGGTAGATGCCCAGCAATGGGATTGCTGGATCAAATGGTAGATTCACTTGTATCGCTTTAAGGTATCTCCATATTGCTTTCCACAGAGGTTGAACTAGTTTGCAGTCCCTGAAATTCCTTTTTTAAAAAAAAGTGAATTGATTTTTAATTCAAACCTAGCTGTAAGAATAATACAATAAATATCCATGTACCTTTCATTTGGGTTCATAAATTGTTAACATTTACCTTGTTTGCTTTAATCTCTCCCTCTATGGATAGGTGGTATAATTATCATTATTTTTGCTGAATCATTTGAGGGTAAACTGCAGACATCCTGACCCTTTCCCCTTAAAT